AAAAAAACAAATGCTTAAAATTATATAAATTATATATTTATAAAAAAAAAAAAGTGTCTCATTATCATTTTTATAAATAATAATAATAATGTAATAAATAAAATAATATGAATAAATAATATACATTAAGGTAAATTATTTTAGTATTAAAATTATTATTATTATTATTATTAATTAATAAGTTAATAAATTTTTATTTATTTTTTTGCTTATTCACACTAAAATGCATAGAAAAAAAAAAAATTATGTATGACGTCATTGATTGACAAATGTAACCATTTTTTTTAATTAAATTAAATTTAATAATATATTAATGCTTTTCGCAAGTGGGGGAGGCACGGGGGTGGGGGGTGGAAACAAACGTAATTAATAAATTAAAGTTAAATAATAATAATAATCATAATTGTTATTGATGATATCTACATAATTTTAATAATTTTAATAAGCATTTAATAATTTTAATTTTTCAATTAATAAATAAATAAATAAAATTTCCGTCTAATATAATATAATAATAATTGCCTTCGACAAAATGTTAAGTTGTAACTTGTCAGCCATATTGGAAAACAAAAATAAGCTTAACCGCCATTTTATTTGTAAATAATTTAAGTAAAAAATTTTGTTTTATTTTTATTTTTTTAATGTTATGACTAAAGTAAATATTATTTAGTTTTAAAATAATTTATTTTTTACAAAAGTAACAAATTATTATTATTATTATTTTTTTATTTGCTTTATTTACAACAATAGAGTTGAAGGTTGTTGTTGTTGTGCTTTATTTTACCCGTATAATTTCATTGTTTTATTTATTTATTTTAATTCATTATTCATTCATCTCTTTAAAACATATTAAAGTGTACGTGTGTATATATATATATAAATTTATATGTTATTAATAATAATAATAATGCCCACCGAAATAAATTATCATTAATTTAAAAAAAAAAGCCTTGATAAATAGATTTTTTACTGCTATATATTACAAAATTAAAAAAAATTCACAAAGAAAATGTTTTAGCTTATTGTTGTCTCTAAAAATTATTTAATAAATAAATCTTAATTATCCAATAATAAAAAAAAACGCCTCAATAATTATTATTATCATTATTTTACTATAAATGTAGCTAAAAATAAATTCAATCTTTTTTTTTTTTGTCTAAAATAAATTTAATTTAATTTTTTTTTTATTAATTCATTAATTTCCTTGAATGTTTCTTTATGATTTATAATTAATTAATTAATTAAAATGACGTAAATATATTTTAATTTAAAATTTAATTTTAATTTTTTTTTGTAAATTATTTGAAGTGTTTCAATAAGGTGATTAAATTTTCAGATGTGGAACGTGACAATGCGGGTAAGTAACGTTTACTACATAAATTATTATTTTTCACTTTAAAAAAATGTTTTTAATTTAAAATCTATCATTTAAATCTATTTAAAAACAAATTAAAAATTTTTATTATAATTTAATTGATACTTTTTATTATTATCATCATAAAGCAGGTGGATTAACCGTTAGGTAAACAAATTTATTTAAACCGTAATCGTTACACACACACACTTAATATAAATAAAATGAAATTTTTTTAAATTATTAATATCGGGAGTGGAAATTAGTTTTAACTTAACGTAATCATTTCCCTTTTTTTGTTTAAATTAAAAAATTTTTAAGATAAAGTTTTCTTATTTCAAAAATTTCAATTGCTTTTTACAAAATCATAGATATATAAAAATCATAAAATAATAAAACACCCGCGTATAATATATATTTTGAACGTTTACATAAGCTAAACATGAGCCCTATATAAATGACGTTTAAATGCGGCCATTTTGAAAATTAAAAAAACTCATCATAAGTTAAGTATAGAATTAGAATCTTCTGTATTCAAAATCAAAACAACGGCCATGCGCCATGTTGTTTCTTGTTTGGTGCATTTTTCGACATGTGTTTAAATGTTAAAAATGTAATTGGTTCTTTATATGTGATAAATTTCATTTACTTTACGTTATTTATTGATGTTATTTAATTATGTGCGATAACAAAAATGAAATACACAAGAATGAATTTGACAAAACTATCAAGTACAACACATCAACTAGGTTGGACTTGGATATCACCGAAACAACAGATTCCTACCCAGAGTTTGATTTCTTGGATTTACTACGAAATTTACAGGCAAGTCAAATAAATAATTATTATTACATGCGATAATTTCCCGTGAGTGAAAAACGTAATATTTTAAATAAATTCAATAGTTTTGGGTCAATTTAAAAGATGTTGTTTTGATTTTATGATTGGATGACTTGATTATGAATCCCTAGGATGGCAGGGTTTTTATTGTATTTACCCTTACCCATTTATCTTGATTATATAGCTTGCTCTAATTTTATACATAGTTATTGAAGGAAAGGGCTCTGAAAAACTAGTCGCCATATTTGAAGCTTATCTGGTTGAATTTTCAGTCATCAATTTAAAATGACTTTTACTATTATAAGTCATATTCAACATAAATATTTTAGTTTTATTTTTTTTTCTTTTTTTTTTCTCTCTCTTAAATATATATGTGTAAATATTTATATTAAGGTTAAAATGTGTGTTTGTTATTTTCATTTTTTTTTTCTTATGTTCAGGACAAACTTTGTGTGTTTTGTTTTGTTTTGATAAATTTACTTGTAATCGATTTCAATTTACTCTCTCGAAAACAATTCAGTTGTGACGGGGAAGCAATGGCGAATAAAACAATTAAGTCAATGAATTCTTTTTTTTTTTTTTTTTTTATTCGTTTTATCAAGAGAGAGAGAGAGAGAGAAAAACAAAATGGGGGAAATGGATGAGTTAGTAGAGACATTTTTTTTTTTTTTTTTTTTTAATGTTATCACAAATACCTTTGCTATTTTTTCTATATGGAATATTAAAAAAAATTGAAAGTGATGCCGTCGTCGTACCTGTTTAAGGTATTATATAAAATCCTACGCTTTTTCTTTTTTTTAAAAACATTTCGTGAGTGTTTGTTCTTATTCTTACCCTTTAGTAGTACAAGTCTTTCTTTTGCTTATTTTCCACCCTTTTTTATTTTTCATTGTACAATATTTTGTGTAATTTATTTCAAGGTGATTTTCTCCTTCTCTCTCTCTCTCTTTCTCTTTCTCTTTTCTTTAGCGCTGTCTGTCTTTTTTTTTTTTTTTTTTTAACTGTATTTATTTCAATTGTGGTGGATTCACCTTTTCAAACGTCATTTCCTAATAATCACGACGACGTTGCCATTTTTTTTTAAATATTTTTTTTTTATTTGGAATGTTTTTAATGACGATTTAATATTTGCAATACTTTTTAAATTTTATTTGATAATCCGCAACGTTTATTTATTATTAATTTTTTTTTTTTTTTAATTTTTTTCATCGTTTATCGAATTTAAAAGTATTATTAATAATAATCTTTAATTTCATGATCGGTTGTGAAAGTTTTTTTTTTTTTGCATGACGATGATGATAATTTCTTAACTGTCACGTTTAATGTTTCGATATTTAATTATTTTGTATTTATTAATAAAAAAAAAAATTTCTTTTTTTTTTCAAATCCGATTTTTAGTATTTTGTGGCAGTTGTCTCTTCTCTCTCTCTCTCTCTCTCTCACTCATTCGTTCTTCCTATAAAGTTTTTTTAATATGCGGTACCGTTAGAAGATTTTTTCCGTTTTACGTACTTGGGCGTACGACAATTCATTTAATGTTTTTTTTTTTTAAATTTTTCATTGTAATTTACATATTGCAATATCGGCCTGGATAACTTTCCATTTTTTTTTTTTTTTTTTTTTTTACAATTAAAAATTTTTTATTATTATTTAATAAATACTTAATAATGATTTCTATTTATTTTACCTATTCTATGTGTTTAATTTTAATTTTTTTTTTCTTTTTTTTAATTAATTATATTTAATTGCGTTTATCTTTTCTTTCATCATCAATTTTTTTTGTTGTTGTCCTTGATTGCTTTTAATGTCATTTACTTTATTTCTCCTTCATTAATTTTTTTTAACATGTATTTTATTTAAATTTATTATAATAATTATTAATAAAATGAAAACATTTCCTACTTTTTTTTTGAATTTTTCCAATTTAATTGTTGATGCATTATTTTAATTTGTTTTGCCTAGAATTATCATTAAAATTTTTAAATGTATTTTTTAAATTATTATTATTATTATTATTATTTGTTTTTATCATGGTGGAAAATAATTTTATGAAATGTGTTTTAGCGAATTGGAAACGACTGTTAATGCCATACTTTTCGATTTGTATTCGAATGTTAATGTTACATAAATGTTTTATCATTATATTTTCGAAGAACTTGCTCTCATGTCTTTTTTTCCTTTTTCTTTTTTACAGTTAAAGGAAAAAAAAGTAAAACCAAAAATTAGTAATGAAGAGACAACAAACAAATCGAATCCATTCAGTGAAGAAGATTCAGATGTTGAAGCCATAGCAAAATTATACGAGGAAAAATATGTAAGTGCAAAATATTGGAAATTGATATATATTAATTTTTTATACAAATGGCTGACATAACTCTCGTTTTTAATTATTTACAGGGGACATGTAATGATTATGCTGAACTTGGAGAAGGCTACGATGAGGAAGATTCATTTATAGATAATTCAGATGCGGTAAGTTATTTTTTAATGCCATAACATTTTTTATTAGGTTAATTAATTGATTAGTTATTAGTCATTATGAAAATTTAATATTTTAGTATTATTAAATGGAGTTGTCGATTGAACTCAAATTTATCATGTTTTTTTTTTTTTTTTTTAAGGTGAATGATTTAGTTCCGAGTGGAATACAGACTGAATTTGGTGGTTTTTACATAAATAGAGGAAAATTAAATTTTGTTAGAGAAGACAATTCATCTAGTTCGACTAGCGAAGATGTTGATAAATTTTTAACTCATAATAGACTGGTTTGTATTTGTAGTTTTTAATCGTTTTTTCCCCCATTAAAATTTATTCGAAGGAAATTGGGTTTAATTTTTTTTTTTTTTTTTTTTTTGCAGAATTCTAGAAAAATAACCTCTGATGAGGAAAATGAAGGAAAAGAAAGTTGCAAAAACCAGAGCAATATTCACAACAGCAATAGTAGCATCATCAACAACAATGTAATCTCTATAAATAGTAGTAACAATAATAATAATAACAACCACAGCAGTCACAATAATAACAATAGTAATAATAATAATAATAATAATAATAATACTAATAACATTAATCATAATAATAATAATAATAATATTAATACAAACCTTAGTAATAACAATAATAATAATAGCAATCTTCAGAGTAGCTTTATTAAAAATAGGAAAAGATCAGGTGAATATCAGCACAGAAGTAAAAAAATTAGAAAGACTGCAACTCCCAAGATACCTGATCATTTATTACATAAAAAACCTTTTTCCGGTTCTCTCGAATATCGTAAAAATATAAATGAATTTAAAAAGAATAAATTGAAAACTGTGGAACACGATAAGAAGTCAAACGTGACAAATTTAGTTATTAGTAATAATAATAGTATCAATAATATTAGTGATAATAGTAATAATAATAATAATAATAATAATAATAATAATAACCACAGTAATATTGCTAGCACTGTTAATATTAATTATAATAATAATAATAATGTGAGCGAAGATGATGCTGAGAAAGAGGTAGTTATTTTTTTTTTTTTTATTTAATTTTCATGAAAATATGATTCACCGTTATGGAAATGTTAATTTTTTTTTTTTTTTCTTTTTAGAGTACGAATAATAAGAAAAAAATAACGGTGGTAGCGGCAGCAGCAGCAGCAGCGGCGGCAGCGACGGCGGCTAAGGATTTTTCAAAAGAAAGAGATGGAGCTACAGAAGTCATTGAGGCTGTTGCAACAGGAGCAGACGTGGTGGAAAAACGTCTTTATTCGTCAAGTAGTGATCCCTCCGAATCTTCAAGTTCGGGTACTTGATTTCGTCGTTGCCTTCATATTTTCGTATTTATCCTCATTTTTAATATTAATTTTTTTTTTTTTTTTTTATAGAATCCGATTCAGATTCTAGTGAAGACACGTCGAATGAAAAAGACAACAAAACCGTACCTAAAATTAGTGAAGAAGGATCGGGGTATAAACCACCACCACCACCACCACCACCAACCGTGAATGGAACAATTGTTAAAGATATCACTGCCAAATCATTTGCTCAATTTAGCGAAAACTTAAAAGAGCTCATCGCTAAAATATTAGAGATCTCGAAAGAAGAAAAAACTAAATATTTCAATTCCAAATTAAACACTCTTTTGTTAAGGTACGCACACACGCGCACACACACACACACACATTTCATCCCTTTTTCTGATGTTTGAAAACAAAAAAAACTATTTAGTTTTCGAGTGATTATTTATTTTATTTAATTTTAGTCTAGATGAACGTCTTCGGGAATTACCAATGGCCGAGAGAAGCGCACTTCTCGAACACGTTGCCGACATTTTGCAAATGAAAAAGGATAATATAACTAAAAGAACTAAAAAATTACTCGTTTTACAAGAGGAAACTAAAATGTCTGCTCACTTGAGAAAGTTAGTTTGAGATAATTTCTCTCTCTCTCTCTCTCTTACAAAATCAGAAATCATTTCAATTAATATTTATATTTATTTACTTATATTTTTTAGGTTAAAGGAAATGGTAACGGCCATGATGCCACTTTTGGAATCAAATTATTTTAATGAATATACCAAAGCAGCTGGCACAAGGTAAAGACAAAAAAAAAATTTTTTTTATTTATATTTATTACATCTATTTAATTTGGAATAATGAAATTTTTTTATATTAATCCTTAATAATTTTGGATTGATTTATTAGTTAAATTTATTTAAAATTTTAAAAAATAATGTTTGTGGTAGAAAAAAGCTTTAGTATCGGTTTTCTTTTTTTTTTTTGTTTGTTTGTTTGTTTGTCGTTTGTTTTACATGATAATTTTTAATGAACAAGTTTGAAATGTTATAAGATTATTATTATTATTATTATTATTTTTGTTTTTTTTTTGTTTAGCCCGCAAATATACGCGGAGCTGTCTCGATATTATTGGTAAGAGCCCAAAAAATTAATTGTTTAATGGCGTCGAGGTTGCAACAATACTTTTTTCTTTTTTTTTTTTCTTTTTTTCTTTTTTCCTTTCTTGTTTCACGGGGCTTTTACAATTCACTTTCATTTCTATATATTTATATACATTAACATAAATTATGCTTCTTTAAAGTTCACCACTTTTATTTTATTATTATTATTATTATTATTATTTTCTTTTGCATTTTGAAATGATGATTTCTTTACATTGGGAAAAAAAATTATGTGTAAAATACAAGCGGGAAAGTTTCACCGCCTTCTTGTTTTCGCGCCTTTTTTTGCTCTATTTTTCATTATTCTACACATAAATATCTTGGGTTTGATTTATTACACGGTTACATCAATATTAACATGATTGTTTTGCTTTTTAACCCTGATTGCTTTTTTTTTTTTGCCTTTTTTTTGGTTGGTGTGTGTGTGCGTGATACGGTGGGTTTTATTAAATGGAAAGTTTATAGGTGATGTAAAGAAAAGAACCGATTCTTTCAATAATAAACTTTAAATATATATATATATATCGGTATGTAGTGCAATCGATACCTTTCAAATGTTATAAATATTAACGCTGTAAATGTTTTAAAATATCAATAAAAAGGCATTTTATAGCGGCGTGTTAAAATTAATTAAACACAGAGTACACGATTTTTATGATAAAAATACGATTTTGTAACGAATAAAAACAACAAGGAATATGTGGTAACGTAATGTACGTTTTCAGGAGCATCGATCCTAGTTGTTTACCACAAAGGAAATTTCCATGGAACGATGAACTTCGACATCACCTTCGAGAAGTAGTTCAATATAGGAAAAATTGTTATTATATTATTCGTCCTAGAAAAGAATCATTAATCGATTACATTAGAAATTTTATGGAAACCAAGGTGAAAACGTTTTGGCCCAAAGAATGGATGACGGTTGATATACTATTGGAAGAGGCTCAAGTCAACGGTTCGCCATCGAGGTAAATTTAAAAAAAAAAAAACACATTTTTATTATTATTATCATTATTTTTTGTTATTGTTTAAATCATACGTTTCAGATTGGCGGAAGAACAAAAACAAAAAAGTATAAGTAAAATGTTGGGAGTTGGAAATCAATCGAATTCGTTGAAAAAGATATCCTCTCAGGTTTCTTCGTCCGGAGTGAGCCATCGTAAGTCAAGTTCGACGACGGGTTCCCCATCATCTTCTTTATCCATACATCCTACAAGTGGGGTAGGTAGAAAATCAACTTCGCAAACACCGAGTAAAAGTCCCGAAGTCAAATCCGTATTGTTGCCGAGGAAAACACCGAGTAGTACTGGTAGCTCTGGTAGTAGTAGCGGAAGCAGCACCAGCACCAGCACCACCACCTCTAAATCAAACATAACAACCGTGTCTTCCCTTCAAAACAACGTTCAAAACAGCCGGTTACAAGTCAGTCTCAATCGACTCAACGTACAAGAATATTTAGATCGAATTTCTGGATCTCAAACGTCCATAAGTCGGAATCCCGGTCATCAAACGAATTCCGGTGGTGGTAGGGGAGTCCAGCAATCCGTGTCGCCTAATCGTTTAGTTAAAACTTCGTCTCCGAGTGCGGTTTTGAACACGAACGTGATTCGCACGAACGCATCGAAAAACACTTCACCGAATAATTTAAGTAAATCCGTATCGTCCAATCGGAATTACGGGAGTTCTCAAAGTGTACTAAAAACGATAGAAATCCATTCGAATCCCTCGTCGGGGAGTAAACAAATTTCGCCAAATACAGTAACTATATCTCCAGTGAACGAATCCGTTTTCAAAGACATGACTCCGAGTGCGGAAGTATTAAATTTAACGAAAAATTCATCGGTTTACATTTCGAAAGTGAAAGATTGCGGGGAAACGAAATCCGGACGAAGCAGTTCTCCTTCGATCGGAATCCCTCTTCCCAGCGGGATAACAATCAGTCCGACGACTAATGCCTCGCCTTCAACGTTTCTAACGAAACCACAAAAATCCGTCGAAAAAAATCCCGACGTTAAAATAAACGTGTCGATAACGAAACAAGAATCAGCAGCTCTTAGTTTAACGAAAGAGAAAAGAGAAAGAGAATCCGTTTTGAACATAAACGTCAAACGCGAGGGTCCTCTTCAAAACATTCCCGATTGCATAAGCGTCACATCAAAAGTCATGTCGAACGAAAGGCACAAGTTCGAACACGTTAGGAAAAGAGCTCTTCAAGAATATCATCAGCAGCAGCAACAGCAGCAGCAAAAGTCACCGGAAAGACTGAAACCGGAAGAGAAAAAGATAAAAACGGAGGACACATCCCTGTTGACGGACCTCGAAATAAAAGAGGAAAAATTGGACGATAAAAATTTTTCGAAAATATTCGATTCGGTCATTGCGAAAACGTCGGAAACGGTTCGTCAAAGTGAAAGTACCAGTGGGGGGTCTCACCACGCGAATGCTCTCGTCGATAGGTTCGGTTCGGACGTGGGAAGTATGGGAGTGCTCCCGGTGAAAAATTCCGTTTTGGGACACGGTCAGTATAAAAACAATTCGGGAAAGTTGAGAGACATGCGAACAGCCAAAGATAAAATGTTTTATACGAAAAACGAGGGTAACGATTCCGTGACAACCCTCGGGGATGAGAGGAAAACGGAAGAGTCGGAGGAAAGGATCGAAAATATTAAGGAACAAAGGGTTCAAATGGAAATGGATAGAGTCATGCAAAATTTAGTTGAACTTTCGAGGGAAAAAAATTCCGAATACGAATTCGAGTCTCAAATGAGCATGACGACCAATAATTATTATACAAATAATACGTCGGGTATAAAAGCTCCAAGCTTTCAAGAAGCCTTTCAAAAAATGTATAAATAATGTTTAAATAATAATAATAATAATAATAATAATAATTTATCACCCTATAAAATTTTAAAAAAAAAAATAAATAAAAATATAAATAAATATAAATAAATAAATTTACTTTTCCATGTTTTTACAGTCTATATATATATATATATGTATACAGTATTGAAGATTTTCTTTTTCTTTTCTTTTTGTTTTTCTTTTTTGTTTTATTACATTGTACGTTTTTTTTTTTTTTTTTTTTTGTTTGTACTTTTTTTTAAAAGTATCCAAAAAAGGAAAATTCTTTTGTTGTTGTATAATTTCTATTAATAGAAAAAAGGAAAAAAAAAGGAAAAAAGGAAAACGTAATTTCTTTAATAAATTTTAATATATTTTTTTATATTATTTAATTTGAAATAAAAGAAAGAAAATTTTTTTTTTTACATATTTAATCGATCATTTGGCGGGGGGGGGGTGTCGGATTAAAATGTTTCATTGGGCAAAATTATTATTATTATTATTATTATTATTTTCACACGGAAGAATTTGGGGGAGGAGGGAGGAGGAGGAGAGGGGGAGTGGCTTGTAAATTTATTTTTTTTTTTTGTGCCGGCATTTTTTTTTTTTTATTTCTAGTCTCGTATTGATTATAAGTATATAGTTTTTAAGTTTTATATAATTTTAATTTATTAAAAATTAATAAATAAATAACAAAATTAATAATGATGATGATAATAATAATAATAATTAAGTTTGTATTTTTTTTTTTTGTTTTTTTTTGGTTTTGGGTGTAAATTTTGTTCTTTCCTTTTAAAAATTTGATTTTCATATTAAAAAATTTTTATTTCCTGTTTCTGTCTCTCTTTCTCTCTCTCTCTCTGGCTCTCTCTCTCTCTTTTTCTTTCTCTTTCTCTCTCTTACGATTCAGATTAAATAAAAATCGAAATTCTTTTTAAAAATGGATTTAAGGGAAAAAAAAAAAATTTTATTGAATGTAATTTTTTCTTATTTATTTATTTATTTATAATCGAACAAAGGAAAGAAAATTATTTGTTTATTGTTTAAAATTTCAAAGGTAAAATCAATGGAAAAAAAAAAACATGGAAGAATAAAAAAAAAAGTTAAAACCTACGATGATGTTGATAAAACATTAATTTAAAAAAATTTTCTTTTTTTATTTATTTATTTATTAACTTATTATTATTATTATGTTTACAAACTTTTAATTATTATTATTATTATTATTAACGGACTACTTATTAATTAATAAAACAACTAAATTTTTTTTTTTTCTTACTCAACTAGCCGTTTTTTTTATAACTTAAATAAAAAAAATATAAAAAATTGAAATTAATAAATAATTTTATTATAAAAAAAATTAATAATAATAATAATAATAATTAATTCGTTATTTTCGTCACTTTTGTTTTCGACACAATTATTGTTTATTCTACATGTAATTATTATTATTATTTTCAATTTAATTTAATTTATCGTTTTCTGTAGGTTCTTTAAATGTACTCATTGGTGTGTGCCTTGTTAAAGATGGTTCGTTCCTGTTTTTTTTTTTTTTTTTTAAAAAAAGTAATTATTATTATTTATTATTTGAAAAAGTAAAAATTATTGTATATTACTCACATTCTATATTCGATGTGTGGTTGTCGTTGTTGTTGTTGTTTGTCTTTTCGAAATTGTTTAAATGCGAAAAAAACAATGATGAGAACAATGGGTATCAATATGCATAAAACTATGGCCCAAGTTATTCCAGCTTGCCTTTGAGAATATTCTTGCATTCCTATTGAAAATATTATTATTATTATTATTATTATTTATTTAATCATGAGGATGAATTTTTATAATTAAATTAAATTTTATTAAATTGTAATTCAATTATTATTATTATTATTATTTGTTTGTAAGAATTGGATAAAATATGAAAAAGTTTTTTTCTTCTGTGTGTGAAGATAATAATAATAGATTTGGTGTTGTTGTTATTATCATTAATCAAAATTTATTATTAACAAAATAAGAGAGGGATTATTAGTAAGAAAAGGGATTTAAAATTGGGATTTAAAGAAGGGATTTATTTATTACAAAAAAGGGAAGAAGAAAAAAAATTTTTTTTTTTTTTTTGTTTTAAATTATGAAACATTTTTTTTTATTCCACGCGTTTTTTTTTTTTTTTTTTAAAACAATCAAAACAAATACATACAAAATAATAATAATGATAATAATAATAATAATAATAATAATAATAATAATAATAATAAAATCGCATGGAAAAATTTCTGTTCCACAATTTAATAATTCAAAAAAAAAAATTTTTTTTTTTCCTTTTTGTAAAGGTTTAATTAATTAAATGTAAGGATGTTATTAATTAATTGTTTGATTTATAAGTTTTTCGCGAATTTTCTTTTTTTTTTGTTTAAAAGGAAAACCTTTTTTTTCCGTCTGTTCGGAAAATTTTTTAAAAAATGTGGAAAAGAAATTTTACCAATTTAAAAAAAAAAAATTTTTCATTTATATATATACAAGAAGAAAATTTATAAAAAAATTAAGTGAAAGTGAATGAATACCACCATTACCATCACGGGGGGATTTTATTATTATTATTATTATTATTTATATAATTAAATTAAATCTTATAGATATTTAATTATGTTTGTTTGTAAAAAAAAAAATTATTAATTTAAAACCTGAGGCAAGTTGGAATGATTAAATGGCCGTTTGTACTACGCTAGTCGGTCTCGTCGTGTAAATTTTATTTTTTTTATTACGCGCGCTAAATGTTTTGTCGTCTGCTGTTTTTTCAATATGTCGGTCGGAGTCCGTGCTCGAACTAGTGTAATGTTTAGATTCTTTTATTTCGGAGTAATCTGTTATTCCTCCGGTGGTTGTTGCGGATTTATACGATGCAGAACTTTTAGACGAACCTGATCGTCTTGCGAATGCTTTTTCTAACCCGGTATTCGAACGATTATTAAATATATTTTGTAAATTTTTATTAACGGGTACTTCGTAATCGGTATCTTCGTAACTTTCGCTCGAAAGTTCGTTATAACTAACATTTGGATTTTTAGATTGTTCTATTATGCTGCTGCTTTCCTCATCATCGGATTTAGAACGTTCAGATTTAATTTCCGTTTTCGAACTGTTCGACGGGCTTACCGGTACCGAGGTACGAATTTCAGGTATTAATCCACTTTCACTAAATGTAATTATATTTTTAAATTTATCCAAATCGGATTTGGACACGTCTTGTAAATTATCATTTTTATCGGTAAAATCGACTAAAGGTTTTCCTTTTATAGGTTCGCGAGTCCTGTACGTTCCGTCGTAGAGTCGCCTTTTCGATATAGGATTCAATAAATTATCGTAATCTAAATTTTTTTCAGGATCGGAAATACTAGAATGTAATGATTTTGTGCTTCTATTATGCCACGTTCTATCCGAGTATTTCCGAATTCTTTCATCATCATTTCGATCACGATAAAAAGTGACGTAAATTAAAAGTAAGCAAATGATGACAGGTATGAGGGTTCCACCGATAAATGCAACAGCCATCCAGCCTTGTTTTTGCTGGTATTCTACTTGACCTAAACAAATTTAAAATGTATCCACTCGTTTTATATAACTATTTAATGTGTGGAGGGAGGGACTGCTGGAAAATGAAATGAAAAAAAAAAAAAAGGTACGATTGCATCATTCTTACGTAAGCACTCCGTGTATCCATATGTTGGTATATCCCAATGACCGTCAGGCATGCAAATCCTTTTTTGATCCCCAACAAGAGTAAAATCTTGATTACATTCAAATGTAACTTTTGTTCCAGGTGTGAAGAAAAAATTACTTTTTCTACCAAATCTTGGCGTTTCGAGTACTCCGCAAGATATCACTAAAAAAAAAATGTAAGTAAATATTTTATTTAATAGAAAATAGGACGACAAACGACAAACGACAAACAACAAACAACAAACCTTTTCTTTGATTTGTTTTTTGTATGTTTATATAACTGTCATAGTAATTAAGGGTGAAATGAACAAAATCTCTATTTAACGTTAATGCGTAATCATATTGACATTGATAAGATCCACCACATAATTCTTTAGCTTTTTCTCGATCGTATGTTCTAGAATTTTAAAAAAAAAAAAATTTTTACCCTTCATTACTTTTTAAATTTTAAAATTAAAAAAAAAAAAAAAAATGGCATAATTTAACCTGTTTTCTGGTATTATATCAACCGCATCACGTTTATACTCTGGTAAAAATGTACGATTCGAATAATAACTACTCATTCTACCATAATCCCTCGTAAATAGTGCACCACCCTTTTCACTTTCTTCCCTTTCTTCTAGCATCCCTTAAAATAATCAAATTTTTTAATGAGAAAATATACTTTTTTTTTTTCGCCTGCAAGGTTAAATTAAATTCTTACATTTCATTCCAAAATTTTCATGTATGCTTCTGAAATCATTTGTGTTGATGTTGAGTGACACGGTTGAACCATCGGGTAATACAAAATCGTCGCCATAATCAAAATTAAAAGTTCCCAAAAGTCCTCTTGTTTTATTCTGAAAATTATCCATCGTGTCAGCAGAAAATACACGATTTGTTTTAACAAGAGGTAAAATATTACTCACAGCAAAAGACCAGGGTAAATAAACTCTTGTCGACATGTAACCTTTGTTTTCGATGACTTCTACTCCAGCTCCCGAAGGAAACATGATTATCACTTCCGATTGGTTAAGTATGTATGTGGGGGTGTATACCGTGACACCTGAGACAAAAAGAACGTTGATAAATTATTGAGTTATAAATTCGACACGTTTACAAAATACCTATAATATACCTGGAAAGTGTTGGACTTTAAGTGATGGTCTATCAAAGTAAATTTTTTTACCATCTGCTAAAACATCAAGTCTATACCGCCATTGTGCTTCACTTGGTCGAAGCCTAACTTCGATTACCGATGATGAATTATCTTGAGCTTTTAATTAAACATTTTATTATTTAAATTTTTGTTTTTCACGACAGGCAGTACCTTATACTTACCCACAACAGCCGTCAACATTGTCGCTTTTACCTCACCGTAAATGTTTTCAGGTAATTGTTCAAAACGTCCCTGAACATTTAATTTATTTCTACCCGTGTTGGCTTGCACAAGTATAAATTCTCCTTTTCCATTGAATGTATATTCCATTCCGTCGAATGTTATGAAATGTGGATCCCCAAATACGACACCTTTTTCATAACATTAATCATTTATTAACTCATTTGGATTTATTATTGTTTACAGTTGCAAATGGCGATTTCTTACCTACGTATGGAGATTGATACCCGACACAATCTTGACTTGGACGTCTTTCAAATCTAAGAGTTTCACACCCGACCGCTTGTTCTTCTTGCCAAAAACAACAACTGTAAAATGGTATCATGTCGTGAAACCATTGAGAAAGCGTCGGTACTTTATTTGCTTCGTTCCAAGGTATGAAACCTATATTGTGTGATCTTTTAGGTTTGGAACCCCATTGCTGATCGTAACTTAACATTAGATATCCTGTTTTATCGTAACAACATTGTTGCTCGGATCCTTCTAAGCTGTTGATGATAAATTTTTAATAATTTCTTTGCTTTTTAAAAAAATTTGTAATTTGGATTTTTCCATACTCCTCACCTCGGAGCCCCACTTCTCACACAATGTACGGCATTTTTATTATAAAAACATTCAATGTTTGTATCTTTATCACATGAAAAATCAGGTAGAAATCTTCCTTTGTCTAAGAGAGCATGTTGAAGACTGCATGGGCAAATGGGTATATCCGCAGCAAAATTTTTCAAATATCTGTCGTACATTGTCCATTTATTACATAGAGTTTCCGGCCATTTTTCACCGTATTTTCTTTTCCATTGTGGACCGAAATACCATGCAAGTGGAATGGGTCTGCTCCACAAAACTCTTTAAAAAACGAATAAATAACATAATTTGTTTATTTATTTATTAAAAAAATTTATTTTTCAACTTACGGACTGAATTTTTCATCTTCTGGATTTGTAAGATTTATATGTAAAAATCCAAATTCTAATTCTAATAATGCCGGCGAATTTATTCTTTCCGAATAACGTGATGGAATTATTGTATACCTTCCATTATTTTCAACATTTGTCTGTTAAATTAATTAATTATCGAAATTAGTTGATGGAAAAGAGAAAGTATTTATGTTCAAAAGTTCGTTAAAAAATCAGGGAAAACCTAACCTCTAACACGTCAATGTACATAAGTTGCGGTCTGATTGTTGTTTCTTTATATCCGTAAAGTGATACTGTTAGGGATGCTGCGGCATTGGCAGTTAAATTATAATTATCCCAAGTGATAATTATTTCCCGCGGATTTTTGTCGTGTACGCTTTCACTTTGAAAATGTATTTTTTCCGATGCCGTGGCAGGAGTTTCTGAACAAAAAGAAAAAGGTTTAAAAGCAACATAAGGGAAGAATTTTCACAATTAATGGACACACGCTGATCTTACCTACGAAATATTTTCCTTTCCAATTATAAGCATTTTCACCGACGGAAATTTCAAATCGTACGTACCCCTCAGCTAAAAGAAAGGGTTGAACGCACACGGCTCGATTTTTATCGATAATAGTTCCGATAACTTCTTCCGTGTCGAACCGACATTTTATTCTCATGTTGGGTAGAAAACAAGGTCCGGTTATATTGACAACCGTACCTCCTAACATGTTACCACTTTCAGGTGCGAAAAAAAGTGGTAAATTAGCTCCAGCAATATCTTTATTACATGTTCCGAGTAATATTTTTTCATCTATTCTAAAAATATGCCTTCCGGGAAAACCGTTAGCCCAACCTCTACCCGTTAAATCTCTTAAAACGGAATCTTGAGAATACGGTTTGTATTCAAACGATTGCGTTCCATTTCCAGCGTTAAAACCGACCTGGAAAAAAAAAATTTTTCATGCTATAATATCACATCGTCAAATTGATTTTGGTCAATGTATAAGATTATACCCAATCAAATCCCCAAACATTAAAAAAAATTATTAACAAATTTGAAACTTGATTAAATTTAGTCGTTGTTAAATTTTAAATTATTACACATAATGTTATGTTTATTAGGTTTATTATTCGTGTACGTTTACAAATTAATTTTTAGTTTTTGTAAAACTAAATCGAAGTAAAAAAAAAAATAAAATTATTATTATTATTGGGAGACTAACATAAGCTGGCGTTCCACCTTCTCCTCCAGTTGTATCACCTCCAGCTTCCGTATGTGTCGTCCATTGAAGATCTTTATAATTAAATATAACGTAAGTAAAAACTTCATCCGTTGCTAAAACCATTTGAAATGTGTTTGTCTACAACAAAAACAAATTAACCATAAAAAAAAATGTTTTTGTTCGATGTTGTTCATCGCGTTAATGATAAGTTTTACTTTATATAATGCATTGTCGATGCCTCCAGCAAATGAAATATTTTTCCATGTAATTATAGCAGCGTGTTTTGGATTGAAAGAATCTGATCCGATTACTCCTTCTCGAATATCCCAAGTTATACGTTCTCTCATTTCAACCCCGAAAACATCAGTTCTTGTTTCTAAATCTCTTTCAAGTCTAAAATAATAATAATAAATTGTTTTTTTTTAACGTATTAAACACATTTCAAACATAAATTTCTCGTTACTATCATTATTATTAAACGAATTTTTCAAATTTGACCTTGACCTAAACACATTACGTTAACGAAAAGGTGGTTTTTCGGTTAAACGTTTAAACGGTCAAATATATGATTGATGTAAATATCGAATAAATCGATTCTCTCTCTTCGATATATCGATATATCGTTTTTTTTAATACATTCATTACCTAAAGTAAACTCCGGGTTCTCTTTGATCCGCATCATCTGGTTTAAGTTTACCTATTCTGCATTTGCTAAAAAAAATTCCAATGAATGAAGGATCGTTTTTTTTCGGCCAATCTTTGTTTGGAAAAGTGAGGGGGTACGTGTATTGTTCTGGAGGATCACTAAATTCTAAATATCCGTTCAAAGACAACTAAAATTACAAATAATTAAATAAATAAAAATGAAGAAAATTTCAAAATTAAAGAGAGAAAAAATTTTTTTTTGGTTTTACTCTTGTGTAATTAAATCGAAATCCGAAAAAAGGAAGTTGAAAATTGAAATTTTTATGGATTTGTGGGGTTGACCAATGTATATCCTTTTGTAAATCACCCTTATCATCGGGTCCACCCTTATCAAAAAACCAATACATAAATTCTTTTCTTATTTCTTTTAATCTCGTTTCTTTAATAACGTATTTATTTTCTTGATTGTGTGATGGTGGTTCCTTTGGGGCGTACCTTGATTTTAACGAATCTGTAAAAAATCATATATTATTATTATTATTATTATCGATTTTCTTTTATGTGTTTTTTTAAAAAGTGGGGAGAGAGAAAGTAAGAAAAAATCCATCAGTCAGATAAAAAAAAAAAAAATTTCTTATCTAACGAGTTTATTTACAAATTTCCACATGAACTTTTTCAATAACACCTGGATACTATCAATAGTAATCATAATGATGATAATTTTAATACTTTTAAAGCACGAAAATTCTTTTCTTTTTTTTTTTTGTTTAAATTTAAATTTAAAATTTAAAATTTACGACATTTAAAAATCGTTAAACGGAAATTTTTTTTTTCCTTAATTACACATTTTCAGTTTAGATAGTACTCGACTGTTATTATTATTATTATAAACAAATCACGATAGTATGTTAATTACTTTAAAAAAAAAAAAAATTTGTAATGGATTCTCGTTAAGAAATTTGTAATTAAAACGTTTAACGGAAATTTAAATTGTTTGAAAAAAAAAAAAAAAATTCTTACCGTAACCCACGTAAACATCATACATTTGTTGATTAAATTTTTTCATTTTAAAATTATTATTATTATTATTATTATTATTATTATTATTATTAGAATACATATTGAAATTCGTTGGAAATAACATGTCATCTTGTTCGGATAAAAATTCTTCTCTCGAATCTCCATTATTATAATAATAATCATTTATAAATGGCGGCCATTTTGATGATGGTTGACTTTTTATATTTTCATGAGACTCATTGTAAATCGGATGAAATGTTTTGATTGATTCAAATGATTCTATTAATTTTTCATTTCCTATCGCTAGAGAATTTATTGTAAAAAATGTTGAGTAAATAATTTTCCAGAGAGTTTTCATTTTTTGAACCTGGCAAAAAGAAAATTATTCTGAAATATTTTTCCATTCTAACATTAAATCTTACACTTTAAAATCTTATACTACCTTAAAAAACTCAAAATTTTATTTTATTTTATATCATATCATATATAATTATGAATTATTTTGTTATTTAAATAAGAACCTAAAAAAATAATTGTTTGATTTAATTATCAATCAAGATTTAGCTCTCCTTATGAGTGAGTAATGTGTAAAAAAAAAGAAAAACTTACCAATTTTATATAAAAAAATGGGCCCCACCCAGAGGAATCAAAATGAAAATTTTTTTAATAAACGTATCACATAAACCTCTCACAATCAAATGACTATCAAAAATTAATTTAGAAAAAAAAAAAAATGAGTTGATAAATAAGATAAGAATTTTTTTTCTATGTGTACATTATGATTCAAAAAGGTAAAAGATAAATTAATAATTATTTAGTTATTAAACTCTTCATTGAAATATATATTTATTTATTTATTTTTGTACAAATACCTTGTTTAGGCTTTTTTACAACAAAAATTTATCTTTTTTTTTTTTCTGTACTGATAATGTTTTTAGTTTGTATTTGTAAAATTTGTTAAAAATACACACACATTGATTATTGTTTAACATTTGAGGAAAAAGGTTGTTGTTAATGATAATAAAAATGTAACAAATTACTTTCAAAATATTTTATTAATTTATTATAAATAAATGTGTATATCATTAGTAATAAGGTTGATACAGATATTAATCATGGTGATTGTTTGTTTTCATATTTAGTCATAATTTGAAAATTAAATTTAATATTTTTTTTTCTTCTAATGTAAATTCTTCATGTCTTGTCCATTTTATAATTTATTTTGTATTTTTTTCTTTGTTTTTATGACACGAACATGATGATGAACAATTGCATTTATCACCACAATTGCAATTTTCTCCTTGGCAAGCTGTAAAATTAAATTAAATTAAATAATTTATATAATATGTAATGTTTATAATAATCAAGTTTTATCCAACAAAGAAAAAATGATAATAAAATTATGGGTTTAACATTATATACAATATTGTATGATTTCCCATATCGAAATTAACACGTAAATAAAATTCTTATTTATTTTATAAAACTTATCGTGATGATAAGAAATTGTTTAAAAAAAAAAAACTATGGAATTTAAAATAAATTAAATATAACTTACTTTTTCCAGATCCACAACATGGAGTTGGCATTTTGAATTTTTTTTGTTGTCTTTAATCGATTCTTTCACTATTGAATGTTGTGCAGTAATAAGTTGCGCATTTGATTTTTATCCTACTTATACCTGTGCCTAAAAACACTTTTAAAGCGCCATCATCTGGTTTTAATAAAAATAAAAATAAATTTAATATCTAATCTTAACTGATGTTCATTATTTTAATAATAGTTTTGTTTTTTTTAAAATTAATTTGTTGACAACGTTTTTATTGTTCTGATGCATTTGCGCTTGGTAAACCGATCACTAATTTTTAATTTCCAATTTTTAAGGCGTAAATCATACTTATTTGTAATGTTTTTATAAAATAAATTTGAAAATTATTTTTAAGATGAAATGTAGTTAAAATACATAAGAATTTATTTTTAAAAAATTCTTTTAAATTTAAATTAGATTTTTTGGCGGTTATTTTTCATATTTGAACTTTAGAATTGTTTACTACGATCAATGGTTATTCTTCTGCCACTGTGTCTTGTGCATGGCGGTGATTATTGTTCACTTTCTCAAATAACTACAAAGTTAGTGCATTATTTTTTTTGGAATAATGAAAATTGCTCTCATGGTGGCTGAAAAGCCATCTTTGGCTGCATCTTTAGCCAATATACTTAGTAATGGAAAATCTTCCACTCGAAAAGGTAAAATTAAACGTTACAACAATTTTCTATAACAAAACAAGTAATGTAAAAATAAAGTATTTCTAGTTAAATTACTTTATTATATTGTTATGTGTAGAATTTTTTGTAAATTAATTATTTAATACAGTCAACATATGTATCATTCAGTTTAATTTTTCCTTTTTTTTTTTTTTTTTTGCTTTGCAACAAACGTGTAAACATAAACACCAAGTGTTTTAAATTGAAGCAAGTTATCGCAAAGTGAATTTAGTTAGTCGAAATTTCTTACAATTACAGTTTTTTTTCCTTTTTTTCCTATTTTTTTTTTAAATTTTCTATTACGGTATGTTTTTAGGTTTCAATGGAGCTTGTTCGGTTCATGAATGGGTGGGTACTTTTCGAATGGAGCCCGTTACATTTCGAATGACCTCTGTTTGTGGGCATATTATGACGCTAGAATTTTCCGGAAAGTACAACAATTGGGATAAAGTTGATCCTGTTGAATTGTTAAGCTGCCCTACGGAAAAAAAAGAGGCTAATTCTAAATTAAAAATGCCTTATTTTTTAAGCCAGGAAGCAAGAGGTTGTGATTATTTAATACTTTGGTTAGATTGTGACAAAGAGGGAGAAAACATTTGTTTTGAAGTAATACATGCTGTACAACACTCACTCAAAGCTGATGTGAGAAGAGGAGATGTAAGTGAACAAAAATTTTTTTCTATGTTACATAAATTTTTTAAATAATTTAAATTTAATTTTAGTAACACAATTTCAGGTTGTGTACCGTGCAAAATTTTCTGCCATCACTGAAAAAGATATTAAAGCAGCATTTGCAAATCTAGGAGTACCAAATGAAAATGAAGCGAGAAGTGTCGATGCAAGACAAGAACTTGACTTAAGGGTAGGATGCGCTTTTACTCGATTTCAAACCAAGTTTTTTCATGATAAGTATGGAGATTTAGATGCTGCTTTAATTTCTTACGGTCCATGTCAAATTCCAACTTTAGGATTTTGTGTTCAAAGGCATGATGAAATTCAAACATTTAAACCAGAGCCTTATTGGGTTTTACAAGTAAGTCAATTTTTTTTTTTCAAATTAGTATTAAAAATGATTGTTACCTAATTAGTACATGATAAAAATAATTTGCATATGTCTGAATTCGATAAGTATTTTTAAGCATAAATATTAATTTTAAAACTTTTAGATGTCTGTAAAAACTGAAAGTGGACAAGAAGCAACTTTAGAATGGGAAAGAGTTAGATGTTTTGAAAAAGAAGTTGCATTAATGTTTTTATCTCAAGTTAAAGAATTTAAAGAAGCTAAAGTATCATCTGTAACATCCAAACAAATGACAAATTCTAAACCGCTTGCCCTTAACACAGTAGAGTTAATGAGAACTGCCAGTTCTGGTACTTATTTTAACAACCGATTTTCTATATTTTTATTTAATAAATGTGAAATTTTAAAAGATGATAATTGTATGTTTCAGGTCTCGGAATGGGTCCTCATCATGCTATGCAGATTGCTGAACGTCTATACACTCAAGGATATATAAGTTATCCTAGAACGGAAACAACACAATATCCTGAAAATTTTGATTTTATGTAAGTAATTATATTTTATATTTTTTTATTTTTAACTATCATTACTACCTTTTTTTTTTCTAATAAAAATATTGAATCTATTTGCAGAGGAGTACTTCGTCAGCAGCAATCTAGTTCGGAATGGGGATCTTTTGTAAGGGAAATTCTTAACGAAGGCATAAGCAAACCTAGAAAAGGGAAAGATGTTGGTGATCATCCTCCCATCACTCCAATGAAATTAGCTAAAAGAAATGATTTTGATGCTGAATCGTGGAAATTATATGACTACATCGTGAGGCATTTTTTAGCCACGGTAATTTTTCTTTTTTCATAATCAAACAATAACAAAAAAAAAAAAAAATGGTGAATTACAAAAAATTCTCTACTAGGGGCAAGCTGAAATGATAAAACAGTTTTTTCAAAATTTTTTAATTTTTTAATATTTGTTTCTAAGGTTTCAGGTCCGTGTAAATACCTTCATACGGTGGTTACATTTAAAATAGCAAGCGAAACATTTAAAATTACCGGTAAAACTTTATTAGAACCTGGTTATACTGCCATAATGCCATGGGAAGCTTTTGGTAAAAATGAAACTTTACCAAATTTCACGGTAGATGCAACGGTCACCATAAATGACGTAAGACATTAAATTTAAAATTGATTTTTCCAACGGTCAAGTAAACATTTTAAATTTTCTTTTTTTTTTCCAATTAAAGGTTAAATTAATCGAATGCCAGACTACTCCGCCGGGATACATGACGGAAGCTGAATTAATTACACAGATGGAAAAGCACGGGATAGGTACGGATGCATCGATTCCTGTACACATTAATAACATTTGTCAAAGGAATTACGTTACGGTGGAATCGGGAAGAAGGTTGGTACCAACTTCTCTCGGAATAGTTTTAGTTCACGGATATCAAAAGGTAATTTTTTTTTTTTTTTTTAATTTTTCTTTTTGTTAATTTCGAAGGAGCCAAAAAAAAATAATGATGATTTGATAATTTTTAGATAGATCCAGAATTGGTTCTTCCGACCATGCGATCAGCCGTCGAAGAACAATTAAACCTTATTGCTCAAGGTCAAGCTCACTTTGACGCCGTTTTATCTCATTCTTTAGAGATTTTCAGGCAGAAGTTTCTTTATTTTGTTAAAAATATCGAAGGAATGGATCAACTTTTCGAAGTTTCCTTTTCGCCGTTGGCCACGTCGGGAAAAGCTCATTCGAGGTAAAAAAAAATTTTTTTTTGGTTTAAAATGACTCGGGAATTGTCTTTTGTATAGATTTAAGAATCGAAAATGTTTTCAGATGTGGAAAATGTAGAAGATACATGAAATTAATTCAAACGAAACCATCTAGATTACATTGTTCACATTGCGACGAAACGTACAGTTTGCCACAAAATGGAAACATTCGTTTGTACAAGGAATTAAAATGTCCTTTGGATGATTTTGAATTGCTTTATTGGACGGCGGGTAACAAAGGAAAAAGTTATCCTTTTTGCCCCTACTGTTACAATCATCCACCTTTCAAGTACTTGTATAATTATTTTTATGAAAAATTTTCATTGTAATTTTATTGGAAATTAATTATTTTTTTTTTTTCTTTTTTTATAGAGACATGAAAAAGGGTATCGGGTGCAATCAGTGTTCGCATCCATCTTGTCCGAATAGTTTGAACCTGACGGGTCTTTGCAGTTGCGTTGAATGCGAGGGAGGGGTACTCGTTTTAGATCCTAATTCAGGACCGAAATGGAAATTAGGTTGCAATCGATGCGACGTAATAATACACTTATTCGAAGATGCTCATAAAATATCGGTGGAAGAAGATGTTTGCAATTGCGGTAGCCAATTAATCAAAGTCGAATATAAACAGGTAAGGGAAAAAAAAAAATTCCGTTATTTTGTCCGAAAGATTATTTATTATTATTATTATTATTATAATTGAGATCGTAATAAATCGTTGGTAAAAAATGTTCAGGAAAAAAGTAAATTACCGGAAGAGGCTACGGAAATGACGGGTTGCGTTTTTTGTTGTCCCTCTTTTACATCGCTAGTTGAAAAACACAGAGCAATCACGGTTCGACCTCAATCAAATAGAGCTTCCCGGGGAAGAGTCAAAGGAAAACACAAAGGAAGATCCAGGCCCCCGAAAGATAAAATGCAACAACTCGCTGATTATTTCGTGTAATAATTTTTTTTTTTTTTTTTTTTGCAAATTCATACATTAATAAATGTCATTTATAAAAATCCGCACGTATGATTATATTAAACACACGTGTATTGTGAGTGTGTGGGTGTGTGCGTGTGCGTGTGAGTAGATTTAAATTTGTGCACGAGTTGATAATCCTGATAATAATCCGATGTAAGGAACTTAAATAACAAGTTTTGTCAAAAAGGGGAAAAATAAATTTTTTTTTTTTTTTTTTTTTAATTTTATTTATTTATTTATTTTATTTATATAAATTCAGGTATAAATTCAGAATTTTTTATTTTTTTTTTGTTTTCAAAAACAAAACAATTTAACACTAAAAGGAATTAATAATTTAGAAAGAGAAAGAGAGAGGGAGAGAGAGAGAAAAAAACATATATTTATTTATTAACTTATTTATTTTCTATTATAATATCGACTAAACGAGAAATTATTATTATTATTATTAATTAATTAATTATTATTATTATTCTTATATGATAAGAATTACATTTTTTTGTACTTTCTATTAATCGTTTTTTATATAACGAATATTAAAAAAAAATCTTAATTTTATATAAAAAAAATTTTTTTTTTGTTTTTTGTACTCGTCACACGTGTAAAAAAAATTTTTTTTTTGTACTCAACACACGTGTAAAAAAAATTTTTTTTGTCACATTAATATAGATAATTTAAACTTAAATTAAGTAGTTAATAAGGAAATGATTTAATAACACAACATTAAAACTAATTAAAACTAATGCCAAATAATTTAAATTATAAAATATTACCGGAAATAAATAAATAAATAAATATTTTTAAATGTAGTTAATAAATTTAAACAAATTTTCTATATTTTTTTAAATTTTTTTAAATTTACAAACCTTTCTACTAATAATTTATTTTATTTTATTTTTTTTATATAAAATTTTTATTAGTTGACGTCGTAATAATAATAATAATAATAATAAATATTAAAGGCAACACAAGACACGTAAGCACAAAACAATGAAAAACTTATGGATTTTTATGGAAACCCAATTTATTAAATAAAACACAATTTGACGATTAATAATAATAATAATAATAATTATTATTAATATTTTTGGTTAATTTCTAATAATTTAATTGTTGAAAAGTAACAAATTGTTAACCTTTTCTTTTATCTTTTTCTTTATTTATTTAAAAAAAAAATTAACATTTGATTACTTTAAGAATATTTTTTATATAAAAAAAAAAACATAATAATAATAATATTTTTTTTTTGCAATTTCATTTTTATTTTACACATTTGTTAATAATAAATCTCATCAAGTAAGTGACAAAAACAATTTTTCATCGATACAAACAAAAAAAAAAAAAAAAACTAATTAATAATTTTGAAAGATAATTAAAAAATTTTTTCTAATAAGTTTTTTAATACCAAGTCAAATTTTTATAAAAAAAAAAAAAAAAAATTATTTTTAATAAATTATTCTCGTGCACATTCCTTTTTTTTAGTGAATTCTAATAATTTTCTTCATCGATGATGATGATGATGATGATGATGATGATGAGGACAATGTGAAATATTTTGTTTAAAAAAAAAAAAAAAAAAAAAAAAAAAAAATGGACCAAAACCCTTTTACTTAGGGTTTCTTTTTTTTTTTTTTTTAAAAATTAAATTTAAATCGTTATTAAAATAATATATTATTATTATTCATTTAGCGAGTGGTAGCAATGGTGGCGGTATGTCGTATTGAAAATTAAATTCGTCAGGTATTCCAAATATATGTTCAGGTTCGGTCATACCATCAACGATACCTAAATGTTCTTCCGTTTCAGCAGTTAAATTAAGTTCTATTTGATTGAGGAGACCGCATTCACCCATTAATATTTCTTTTGATATCGGATTTAAAAAATCTGGGGAGATAAAAAAAAAAAAAAAAATTTATTAGGTTAACCCCCCCAATTAACCCCCACCCCCCCATTTTTCTAAATTACCATCTTCGCAAGGTGATTTAACCGGTTCTAAATATTGAACTTCGACATTTCTTTTAACTCCGCTTAATATTTCTTCGGCTGATTGTTCTAAGCTTAAATTCTGGAATGAAAGAAAAATGGGTGAGAGTTAAAAATTTCGATTTTTTTTTTTGGGGGGGGGGGTAATAATAATAATAATTGTTTACAGTTGCAGATATAAAATTATTATCAAAGCAAGCCGCCATAAGAACATCTCTATGTAATCTCCTGTTTTCTTTATCTTCTATACTTGCTGTTGCTATTTCCGTTTCATCGTAAATACCATTTGGTGATACGCTCCCCGGTGACTCCTCATTTTTAACTGTTTCCCCCGTGAACCTCAGTCTTTTGCTAAATTCTTCAAATTCGTGAAATCTATGTCTTTTCTAAAAAAAAAAATGTAATTCCAATAAGGTACGTTATCATTATTTAATTTACTTATATTTTAAGGTACATTAAATTATTTATTTTACTTGCCCAACTATTTATTTTAGAATTATCATCGGATCTATTTACGGTCCACAAATGTCCTGAACCTTGTCTTGCTTTCGTACCTTTTCTAAAATATGGATTTATCGATAAATTATGCCTCACGGAATTTTTCCACCGGTCGTCCCATGATTTATAATACGGAAAAGTTTCCCTGTATAAAAAAAAAGGAAAATCGTGAAATTCAAATTAACAAAAAAAAAAAAAAAATGAAAGGATAAGTCGAATGAATGAATGAATGAATGAATGAATGAAAATTTTATTATTTAAATTAGGGTATCTCTATCTCTCACGATAGAAAATCGTATATATAAAAAACGGGAAAAGTCCGGGAAAATGTTGCTAAGATGCAAATTTCCAAAAAGAAAATTACAGCTCATCGATAAATGGTACCAGGAACGACGACAACCACCCCAATTTTTCAAAACTTTTAAAATTTTCCCTTTGTTTTTCCTCTTTTTTTTTTTCGTGAAAATTTTTTTTTTACAAAAAAAAATTGATATTATTTTATTAAAATAACAGATACGCCATTTAATTTTACAAAAATATTTTTAATTATATTTATTTTCCTTTAATAAAGTGAGGTTTTTCCACGTGTGTATGATTGCCATCACGTGCAATATCTATCGGCTAATGCAAAATGAAATAACGTGTTTGATAACTTTTACATTTCTAAAAAAAAAAAAAAAGGTTTATAAGCGCGACCCTCCGTACCAACTCGTGTCGTCTCACAAACCAACAACCCTTAAATCCGTAGGAGAAAAAATACATACGTTTTTCTTTTTCCCCCTCCCTCCCTCCCTTCCTTCCTCACCCCATTTTTTTGAAATCCATTGTTCGACTAACTGCCGAATAAATGGTGATAATTATATTTCGTTATATATGACTTACGATATCCAGTTATAAATTTCGGATACGGTCAAAGGACCTTTTTCTTGCAAAGCACATTCTATCAATTCGGTGTAGGTGAAGGGTGGTTTTCTATTTTCAGAACATTTTAAATCGCTGAAAGTTCTGTTGGGCAACGATGATTCCGATTTTCCATCAGTCTTTTGCTGTTGTTTTCCACCACCGGTGATTTTATTGTTTGAAAATTTTTGTGTTTTCGATGTAGCAGTTTCAGTTTGGCAACCTATTTCTACTATAAAGCCATATTTGAAAAAAGAGAGTAAATTAATACATTTCGAAAAAGGAAAAGAAAATTTAAATGATTTTCCCCACTCTCTCTCTCTTACCTCTAATTTTATCATCGGAATCGAATTCGTTAAAATTAGTTATTGATCCATCAACATCGATGAATTTTCCGGGGAATTCGGAATATTGGTCCAAACTATCATCGATCTGTGATAAAGCCGGTAAAGCACTTTCACTAAATAAATCATCCAACTTAAAGTCTAACAACCACATCAAATCGTCACTTTCGCAGGAATTTCCCATTGAATTAAATGATTGATTTCCCTCAAAAACATCTTCAACAATGTCCGTATTTTGTTTTTTCCCAGAGTTTGAAGTTTCTTGATAAATTTTATTATTTTCTCCTATTTTATTAACAACTATTTTTTTGGCTTTATTTGGATGTTCGACCATTCTTATGAATTGTTGATTACCCCCAAATTCAGTCAATTGAGTTTCCCTGTAATTTTCCTTTTTTTTTACCGTGTTTCTCCCGAGTGGTAAAATATTTCGTTCTTCTTCATTTTTAGTACTCGAATTATGAAATTTAACATTTTTTTTACTGTTCAATTCTTCATTTTTATTTATAATATTTTTATACATTGCATCATCCCTCAATGTGGGGTTTTTTACTATGTAAAACGGTTTTTTTATTTTACCATTTTGCATAACGTAACAACCAGCACTCATCAATTTGGATGATTCCAATATTTCGCTTTCCCGTTTTTTATTATTTTCTGATTTCGAACCAGAACTTTTGTATTTATTATTATCATTTTGTAATAGAGCAGAAGAAAAATTATCTACCTCGGTGGTATTCATTATTGTTGTAGCAGCATCGGGTTTGGATCTTGGTAAAAGTGCATCTTCTGGCATATGATCAAATAATTTTTCAGTTACTTTATCTTCTTTGTGTCCTTCGACTTGAGGAAGGAGTTCTGCATGAAAAAAATCTGCTTCCGAATCAGATATAACCGCTACAAAATCCTCAGTCTCTTCTGCAAATTCATCCAAACTTACTGTTACCGATGAAACACTTTCCGAATCCGTAACTACTAGTTCGGTCACCTGTGATGGCACTGATTTTTCATCTGTTATATTCGGCGTTATACTCTTTAAAATGGAGGATATTCCAGCTTTTTCCTCTTCAATTTCGTCCCATTCCGGATTAATAAAAACTACTTGTTTGTTCAATTGTTCTGTTTCGTTCCATTTCGAAAAATCACAATCGCCATCCTTATTTTTCTGTATTGAGTTCAATTCCATATTACTCGTATGATTTTTATGTTCGGGAAAAAGATCTAATCTGACCGACACATTGTTAGGACCCTTCATCACTGGGAAAGAAAAGTTCTCTAAGTTTTCTACCTTCGAATGAGAATTCCACTTTTTAAAAACAGATTCATCTAAAACTGGAGTTATACTCATATATAACAAATCAAAAATTAAAATATAATAAATAGAACAAAATTAATATAAATAGACTCTTGTGATCCTCACGCGTTGAAACTAAATAATCAACTATTAAGAAAATTTTTCCTTCTGACATTAACGTTTTCCTGCGACTTAAGCAATAATAATTGTGACGTCAGAAACGATTTTTAAACTGGCCGCGAGATGGAATTAATTTTCTTTGCCGCCTGGATGTTTTTTTTTTGCACAATTGCTGCCACGTCAGTTAAATAAATTTCATTTTAAATATGCTTATTATAGGAGTTTATGTAACCATAGAAGCTTTCTTCGGTTATATTTTAAATTAGCGAATTTTAGTTGTGATAATCGTTTTAAATATATACAAAATAAATTTTTTCTTGCATCGGGAAGTACGTTTTTTCACACCCTCTTGCCGTTGTATTTTATAATGAGAAGTCCATTTAAGTTGTAATTTTTTTCATAACTGTGAAATATTAGTATTTTTAAATATAAATTATAAGTTTTAGTACTGACGCCATTTCCGTCAAATGTTATTTAAATTTATTTAAATTATGAATTGAAATAAAATTTGCAAAACGCCAACAAAAAATAATCATAAAGATTTGGGGTTTTTTATCTGAGATGTCATTAGAGATGTTGATCATTTTTAATTCAAACATAATTTTTTTTTACAATCACTAACTTTTCCTGATAATACTTTTAATTTGATCACCTTTTTTTTTTTTTTTTTTTTTTACAATTTACGGTAAATTATTATTTAATTCACAATTATATATTTCATTTATAGGTAGTGCTTTTTTGCACTATTGTGTGTACTGTTTAGAATGTATTTAACAGTTTAGTAAAAGTTTAAAAAAATTGTCTACCATAAGAAAATGAATGATGCTAATTATTCTTTAATTCATAATACTAAAAATAAATTTGAGGATGTAAAAGAACAAAACAATGAAAGAATTGAAAGTTGTGTGAAAGATAAGTTACCTGAAATTGTTAGCAAAATAAATAAAAATAATGAAATTGGAATTTTGAAGGAGCAAAATTTTTTAATTTCTAACACAGGATGCTATAGTTTGTCAAAATTATATAGTAATCGGAATTGTACTAATAGGATATATAATTCCAGTTATAAAGAAAAGCCACCATTAGTCATGAATAACTGTAAAAAAATTTTGAGTGAGGGTGGCAATAATAATGAAGATAAAGGTATTTTCACAGATGTGAAATCAGATTCAAGCAAAGATAATAGTGAAGGAGTATTTAATATTCCCATTTCGCCTAATAAAGCCAGGGAAAAAGACACAAATGGTATTAGTTCTGTTGAAGATTATACCAACACTATGACAGATTCATCTGAAGTAATTTACTATGCAGTACATATTCCTATTGAAATCCCTTTGCCTGATGCACTTCTCGACAAAAAAGGTGTTTATTATTATTTTATTAATTATTTTATATTTCTAGTTAAAAAAAAAAAAAAGAACTAGTCAATTTATAATTTGAATATAAAAATAAATTAATTTGATTTATAATATAAAATGTATTTTCTGGTACGTCGACATCATCATTTTATTAACTTTTGTTTTTAAGACTTTTTTTTTTTTTCTTTCAGAAAATATTCATGTATACACTGACAAAGAAGATGTTTTATCATTAATTAAATTAAATAAAAAAGCAAGATTTAAACAATTTAAAAGTAGAAAAGAAGCAGAAGAGTTTTCAATTCATGGATCTGAAATTATTTCAAGCGATGCACCTTCTGCCGTTAGTTTTTTTTTTTTTTCAATTTTATTTATTTTTAGACTTTATTTTTTTTTTGCAGATTTTAATTCAAGGCTTTTCTAAAATTGTCTTCTCTTTTAAATAATGTATTAAATTAATGAAAAAAATGTTTTGGTTTTTGGTAAAAATAAATTTATTTACAGGTGACTGATAATGAAAAAGTTTTACCTTTTAAAAGGCCCAAAACTGAAGATATGATTCAATTTCGAAAAGATATAGAAAAGGGAAATATTGAAATTGTTAAAGAAAAAATATTTGAAAATCCAAAATATCTTGTCAGTAATGGAGATACACCATCGATTTTACAAGTAAATTTTGTCATGGTTTTTTCTTTTAGTGAAATTATTTAAGGTAATTTAAAATATTTTTATTTTATTGCAGGAAGGCTCTCGTTATAATGCATTACACGTGGCAGCAAAAGCTAAAAATGCTGAAATAACTCAATTAATACTCGATTCTATAACTCGTATTGATTTTATCGGGTACCTTTATGATGAAAATGATGTCGAATCTTGTTTGGCAAGAAGTAAAATTTTACTCGATCGTTATTTAAATACTCCTGATAAAGGTGCCAATGAAACCCCTCTTCATCTTGCCGTCAAACACGGTGCTGTTGACGTAGTGAAAGTTTTGCTGTCGTATTCCCAATGCCAAAAAAACAACGTTTTCAACAGATATAATAAGCTCCCGAAGGATGTAATTATTATTATTATTATTATTATGGAACATTACATCAATTTATCATGTATTTTAGTATTAAATTTTAATCATTATTAATTGTTTTAAAAATTTTTTTTTGTTTTTAGATAATATGCAGTCGTGTTACCGGACCTTGTGAAGAAACGAAAGCGACCATAGCTTTAATGTTGGAAGAACAATATTTCGTACCTGTTTTACGTTCGGAAGATAATTCATTGCAACCTAAAGTGGGAGAAGCTTTTTCCATATCCAAACCATTGGTAAGAATTTTAATTTTACACGATTTATGTGATTTTGTGTTTATTTTAAATTAAATTTTACTGTTTTTAAAAAAAAGAAATTAGAGCACGATTTGCTAAGTCCGAGATTAGAAATTCAAGCATATGCGGGACCAATGAGTAAGGAAAAGGCTGACACTTTTAAAAAAAAATGGAAAACTCCTCAACGTGCTGCAAAAGGTTCGGATTCTCCTTTTGCTTTAAGATTACGCGACACTGAAAAAGGACTTGAAAAGGCTGGAAGGTGGTAATTTGTAAAAAAAAAAAATCACATGAATTTCCGTGCAAAAGCCAACTATTTATTATTATTATTAATTAAATATTTTTATTTTTTTTTTGTAACGCAGAGATTTGGCGTCTGAATTAAATGTGCCTTGGCAAGAATATTGGTTTTTCTTAGATACCTTCGTAGATCTTTCATCCGAATCCGGACTTGAATTACTTGAAAATTATTTGAAAAAAAGATTTTCAGAAACATTTGCAGAAATGCGAGAAAAAAATGTATATTGATCATTTTTTAACATTTAATAAAAGGAGAGTTGAAGGTTTTTTTTTTTACTTAAATTTAAATTTTAAATTTTTTTTTTTTTTTTAGTTTAATCCATCAAATATAAACAATAAAGAAAATAATACGTCTTCCTTAATAAATGAATTGTGTAACGCATTTCAAGTTTGCGGTTCGGATGAAAAAAATATTAATTTTATGAATAATAATAATTTTTTCAGTTCCACTCCTCGTGGTTTGTAAAATTTTAATTGAATTCGTTTATAACGCGGTAAAATTTTTGTCTAATTTTTTTTTTTTTTTCTTATATTTTTTTAGCGAAGAAAAGTTTATCACTCCTTCATCGTGACAATAATGGTAAAAAATTGAACGAATTATCAAAAAATTACAGTAAAAATCCGATTGTATACGTCGAGAGATCATGCGAAGTAAGTTTAGTTTAACTAAAACCTTTTTATGAAAAGTTTTTCAAATTAAAAAAATCAATAATGAAAATTTTTTAGGTATTGGGAAAGCGAATCGGTGCTGCTTTAAATTCTTCTCTTTTATTTGAAAATCATTCGGAATCTCTTAAAGAATGTTTGGAAACTCAAATAAGACACCTTCAGACCGTGATTAAAAGTTACAAAGAAGATTCGAGGTAATTAAATTTTTGGAATTTGTTTTTTTTTTTTTTTTTTTTTTATTACCGACATGAAAGTTTTCTTTTTTAGATTTCATTTAGTAGATTTTCAATTGATTCATTCGAGAGTGTCAACGGTAGCGATACAATGCTTGCAAAACATGTCGGAAAAACAAAAACAAATGATTTTAATGGCTTTGAATGGAATCGATTGGAGCGGCGGTGCTTTGTCCGATGATGAAGGTCTCAATTATCGAAATCAAGATGTTTTAAGTAATTCATATTTATAACAGCTAAATTAAAATGAAGTAATTGTTCCCAATCGATTCATGTTTTTTTTTTTTTTTTTAAATTTCAGGTATAACGAAAAAGCACCTTTACTGCATCGTTCAACATCTTTCAATGCAATTGCAAAATTACGAAGAAAATTCCCGAATAAATTCATCGTCCCTACGGGATGACACGGATTGCGAAATGCTCTGGGCTCAAGCCAAACCCTGTAAATGCAATTGGGGTAAAAATTTTACGAAAAGGAATCGGGGAGGATTAAAACGGAAACAGAGGAGGAACGAATGTTATTCCGAAACGGATGTGTTGCCTAGAAAAATTATTTTCGACGATGACGAACAACAAGGTTGATTTGTTGAATGTTTGTCGTTTTCATAACGTCGTCTTTTCAATAATGATTTTATTTGTTTTTTAATTTCAGATGAATTCGTAGAGGCCTTAAATTTCGTGCCTGACGAAGATGAAGATACCTTTTCTACGCCTCCCTCTGGTAATTCAGATTCGGAAAATGAATGTATGGAAGATGTCATGGAAACTCCAAACACTTTTATTTTTTCCGGGTAAGTAAATATTATCAGTACGTGAAGAGTCCTCCTCCATCGATCGATTTATCGTTTAATTGAAATTTTTTCAGGCATTTTCCTACTAAAACGGATTACGACGTACTCGAAGCCATTGAAAAAGTGCCTTTATCAACTGATAAATATCCAAATATTTGTTTATGGCGACACATATTGAAAATTCAGTCAAAGGACTCGGCCGTGGATAATCATCATAATCATTCATATTCGGATTTACCGTATAAAAAATTATCACAAATCGATATCGTAAAATCTAGTCCTTGTAAGTTGTAGATTTAAATCGTTCGGCCAACCGTTATTAATAATACCGTCGCCATTAATAAAAAAAAAAAATTTGTTTTTTTTTTTTTTTGTAAAGGTAAACTCAGTGATAGGTCATTTAATTTAAACGATTCTCCTCCTTTACCGGAAAGTGCAATGGAGCCATGGGAACGAGTAACCGGTCCATATTCTCCCAGAAGAACAAATCGATCTTCACATTCTATTATTTATTACGAAAATTCTCCCATTAGCTGATAACAATTAAATACATATATTTATTTATGAATTTTGTTTTTCTAAACACAAAATATTTTTTATTTGAAATCATATTTTAAATTTCTTAAATATGATTCATTCATTCATTCATTCATTCATTCCCGTTAGCTTTCGAAGAGTTATTGATTATTATTATTAATTTTTTTTTAAGTATTTATCAGTAAAGATTAAAAAAAAAAAATTAATTAATTATTATTATGATCCGTTTTAAAATATGTATTAAACAATATTTATTACAAATAATAATAATAATAATAATAATAATAATGAGAGTATTAAAATTTGAAGATTAAGAAAAAAAAAAAAAGTATTTATACTATTATTATTATTTTTTTCCCAATTTATTTTGTTCAAATTTTTTTTTTTTTATTTTATATCTTAATTAAGGAAGCGTTAGTGCCTTAAATTATATTGTAGTGATTTTTTTTTTTTTTTTGGTTCACTTATATAAATTTTATAATTTAAATTAAAAAAATTTTCTTTTTTTTTTATTTATTAAGTTATTTTAAAACCTTTTGTAAAGTTCTGATTTTAAAAAAAAATGTATAAGAAGGTTGTCACAAGTTAATATATATATATTAGAAAATTAATATTTTTCAATTATTAATTTAAATTTAAATTGTTTTTAAAATAACTCATTTTATATAAATAAAATTTAATTGCATTAAAAATAAAAAGTTTTATTTAATGTTTATGTTTATTATAAGAAAAAAAAAAAAAATTGTTTTTTATTATGCAATTAATTTTAGTAGATTTTTTTCTTTATTGTTTTTTTTTTTCAGGAATTACTTATATAATCTTAAAAATAGAATTAAAAAGAATAGATCTAAATCAATATATATTGATTTGAAAGATTTGTTTTAAATAAAATACTCAAAATAATAATAACTAACACACAAGAAGAAAAGAAAGACTTTATCGATTTAATAACTTTCTTCGATATCTTACTCTGAATTCTTTCGAAACTTGTAAATAATTTTTTTAAAATTTGTATAATATGATTGTCTAATCGATTTTAATAGTATTTATTTATTTAAATTGTGCTTTTAACATGTACTTATTTAATATTTATTTTTGCAGGAAAAAGTGCAGTAAATGTTGTCATGGCTTACACTTTCAAAATTGATGATTGTAAGGAATAAAGAAAAAGTCATAAATAATTAATGTAGCAGTTTATTATTACTTTAAGCAATGAATTCATAAGGAATAGGTGCCAGTAAAATTGGTTTTTCCTTCGCTTGAACTACATGTGCTGGTCTGGGTGGAGCAGGCTTCCTTTTCAAACAAACATGAACGCGTTTGTTTTTGTATTTCTTTTTTAATCTTTCATTTTCATGAACTCTTCTTAAAAAATCTTCTCTGCATTTTGAGTGTTTAACATGTTCCACTCTAACATTAATTCTCTTAGCAATAATTCTTTCTCTAACTCTTTTATTAACAATTACTCCAAGAGCGTGAGGATTAACATTATAGACACGACCTGTTTTACCGTGATATGCTTTATAGGGCATACCTTTTTGAACGCATCCATTTCCCTAAAAGAAAAAATAAAATTTCAAATCAACGAAGTCTGACATTAACTTCACAATCCTACAATTTTTATTTACGAAGCCTACCTTAATGTCGACTATGTCTCCAACTTTATATACTTTCATATAAGTAGCCAACGGGATAGTTCCATGTTTTTTAAATTTTCTAGAGAATAAATCTCTGGTTCCCCTCCTATAACCTTTAGAATTCGTCATTTTTTAAAATCTGGAATAATAAAGCACGTGGCAATATTTATAAACCTATTTATGTAAGTAAAATGAAAGGGAAATTTATTAACATAAAAAACAAATTAAACTAAAAAACCTAATAAAAGAAAATACATAATAATTATTTTAAAAAAATAGAAATACTTTAAAAGATTAATGATAATAAAAAAAAAACTCACTATTTTAATTTACCAAACGACGACAAAACTAAAATGGCGGAACGTAAAAGGGTCACGTGACATAAAAATTAAACTTTTTACAATCCGTAAATTTAACATAGAACGCTACAAAATACGTAAAACTATAAAAAACTAAAAAAAAACATTAATGAAGGAAATTTTTTACTTAATAAATTTTATAAGTAAAAATAATCAATCGTCTTTTTTCTTAACGACGAAACAAATAATATATTAAATAAAATTTTTATTAAAAAAAATTTCGGATTATGTACTCTCTGAAAAGTAGGGCAATTAAATCCAGGAGGCATTGTCTTAAGCTATTTGTTTTTATAGTTGTTGAAATGGAGGTTATCTGAAAATGACAACTATCTCTAAGTTATAACAAGACTAACTATATAATTTGTAAATACAGTATCATTATGAAACGGTTAATTGTTCAGTTATAATTTAAATCATTAAATCTTAAATTTTTTTATTAATGTTGGTGTTACTTATCTTAATGCTAGGTAATTATTTTTCAATGTATGATGTACAAAAAAATGAACTAATTTAAATTTGTAGTCAGAATAATAAAATTTCAATGACATATCTTATTTCTTATTAAAATTTTATAAATTTTTTTTAAATTGTAAATTTTAATTTTAAAAAAATTTTCTAATGATAAAATAAAATAGAATTTAGAATAAGGCAACGTTCGTACTTTTAGCATTGAATTCAATAAATTTTGTTAAAAATGAGTTGGTTGCGAAACAGTCAATTACGAACTAGTTTTACGCCTAAACGTCAGTCAAATTCACCTCCAAAAAATTGTGATCCAACAGCATGTACTGAAAGTTTTAAAAAGCATTGGCAACAAGCTAATGAAATAATTGACAAAACGCAGGTACATTAAATTTTTTAATCATGAGTTATAAGGCATTTTTAACATGACCTTTTGCAATTATTTGTTTTATGAAACATTAAATTTCTATTTTATAATTTTTGTATTTTTTTACATTAGCCTCCTGGTGGATATCCTATACAAGATGATGTCATTGGTGTAGTTAATCATTTAGGTCAAATGATGACTCTTTTGGTATTAGAACTTAGGCAAACTGATAAAGATGAATCTAAGCCATCAGCTACTCCTTGTTTTGAACATTTACTCACCGAAAATGTTTTCGAAAGGCTATTCGAGTGGAGTATACATACAGGAAGGTTAGTACAAAATTAAGTCTTGATTTAAAAGTACAATTTTTAGTCATATTTATTTATAAAATTTATTTTATTTGTACTATTAAGTTTTCCTCATCCTATTTTAGATTTAATAATGCTGTTAGACTAGAACAGTTGAAATTTTATGAGTTACTAGTCAATAATGCAGGACAGCAATTTTTAGTTCATGAACCATTTTTAAGACCTTTGCTTAAACTCCTAACTTCATGTACGAGTGAAGTTTATCCAGTTGAAATAGAAAAAAGGCTTGTTACTCTCCTTAACCAATTATGTGTCTCAGTCATGCATAATATTCAGCTTCTAGATTTATTTTTTAGTGCAGCATCCAATAAGGACCGGCCAAGTATGTAAAATTTTTTAAAAAATTTATTCTTATCTTTATAAATAAAATGTTTTTATTCTTCTTAAAGGCTATTGTTACATTTAATTTTTTAGGTTTCTTTTATTTTCCTTGTTGGTACCATTTGTTCATCGTGAGGGATCAATTGGGCAACAAGCTCGGGATGCTTTGCTTTTATGTATGTCAATGTCCAACAAAAATGAACTAGTCGCTTCTTATATCACCGAATATTCAAATGTTTGTCCTGTGAGTGATGATTAAAACTATTTATTTATAATTTGTTTCCATGTTTGAATAAGTTAATCACATTAATTAAAATAATAATATTATTTCATTCAGGTGTTAGCTACCGGGCTGAGTGGATTGTATTCATTGTTACCACGAAAATTGGAAATTGAAACTGAAGATTGGCATAGGTTAACACCGGATGATATAAATGAACTTCCCGAACTTACACTATTGATCAACTCATTTGAATTTTGTAATGCAGTTGCACAGGTGAGCCATTAAAAAAATTAAAACTATAAAACTTATCCTTATTAAATTTTTTGAATTGTAATTGTTAATCTTATTATTTTCAGGTAGCACACATTTCAGTTACAGAGCAATTACTAGAATTTATTTATCAGGATTTCTTATTCCCGTAATGGGACCTGCACTTCT